CTGTTTGGAGCAGTGACAGTGGCGCTGGCCGCAGGGCATTTCCCGCTAGGGCCGCTCACTCCCCCAGCGAGCCTTGTGGCCTCCAGGCTCCGAGGCCCTTCGGACCAGCCTGGGGGGCGGCCTGGGTCGCTGGCTCTCAGTCGTGGGGCCCTCCTGCCCGGGGCCTAGCTGGCCATGGGGGAGCAGGGGCTGCCGCAGCGTGCCTGGGGTCTGCGTGGCCCCCTCCCTGCGGTGGGGTGCCGGGGTGCAGGGCTGCCGGGCGGCATCGACGTCCACCTCGTTCTTCCACTCCATCCTGCAGGCCTGGGCTGCTTTCTGTGAGAACTGCTCCGGCAAGAAGCGCCTTGCGCGGGGCTTCAAGTTGAGGACAGTGGTCCCGGCATCGGCGTCCGAGTCACTGCTGTTGCCACCTGCACCGAGCAGAAGGTCAGCAGGGAATGTGCTTCAGAGGAGGGTCCCCGATGGCAGTGCTAAGGGGTCTGGTGTGAGGCAGGCTCCCTCCCGACTCCCACTGAAAGCTGGGCACCTGCCTGACCCCCCAGCCCTCGGGCTACCCCTGGGCATTCCGCAGATGGTGCGGAGCTCTGACATGTGCCAGCACTGACCTCAGCTCTAACTACACGCATCTAGGAATCTCCCCTCACGTCACCCATCTCAGATGAAGGGACTGAAGCTCAGGGGTCAGTGTGGTGGAGCCTGTTGGCACCGAGAGCAGCCTGGGCTGTGTGCCACCTGCCCCAGGATGTGCCCCAGGACCTACCCCAGGGAACTTCCCCAGGACCTGCCCCAGGGACCTGTCCCAGGACTTGCCCCAGGGGACTCCACCCACCACAGGAAGACACCAAGAGTTAGCTGCTATTGCAAGATCTTGCCTTGATTTGATCTCATATATTGCCTTGTTTATTCTCTTCATATTTTTACAAAAGGGTCAAAACCAGTGTGCACCTTCCAAACAGAGGGAGGAGTTGAGATTAGAACCAACTGCATAAAAACTGGGGTCCTGGACTACTGGGGTCCTCCACTGCTGGGGACCTCCACTGCTGGGGTCCTGGACTACTGGGGTCCTCCACTGCTGGGGTCCTGGACTCCTGCAGGGAGGAGGTGCTGGGATGCTGGGAGCTGAGAGTCTTGGTAACAGCATTTCTGCTGGATGTCTGTGGTCACGTGGCCACTGTCCTGCACGCCCAGGTTCCCTCCCCCTCCTTCCCTCATTTCCCACCTCAGCCTCCACACACAGGTCATCCTTAGACTTTCCTCTCCTTGATTAAATAAATAAACAAGGAAAAAATGGTGGGATATTGTTGTTACATCTACATTTTAAGAACATGATATCCTAACATTTTTCTTCTGGGGTTTCACAGACAATGGCTCAATATCTACATAAAGATATCATAAAATAAAGAGGTATCTGACTTTATGTCAAAGTTTAAATAATTACAGAAGTAAAATATATGGCTGATTTATGAAAATATATTACAATTACTGTAAAAATTAAACACACCTTTGCACATTTATAGCTTTTCTGGGGGAGGACCCCAGTAGTGGAGGACCCCTGTTCT